CCTACACTTAAGAATCTTTCCATAAAAGTCCTAAAGAAGGAATGATTAAAGGACTGTGGAAGAATCACAGCCATGAACCCACGGTATGGGTTCATTTTTAGGAAGTACCAGAAAATCTGTTGGATTGTTTGTTCTGTGGATGTGCATGCACATGTTAACAGACTGCATGCTTTGTGCTGGTTTTATCTTTTAGATTTTTAAATTGGCCCTAAATATACATAATTTACAGTGTAAAACCTGTTTTTGAAGTGTAAATATCAATGGATGGCAAGAATTATTTCAAGGGATCTATGTTTTGCCATCATGCTTAAAAAAATACATCTTGGCAAAGGTTTAGGCTGCTGTTGTGTTGAGACAACAGCTGCCTCTTGTAATGACCATTGCCTTGTACTCCCCAACTGTTGCCTCTTGTCTTATATTTCAACATATGCCTTTTGGTGCCAGGGCACTCTTGTACAGCTCCCAGTCCATGAATATAAAATTAATCAAATAATAATGGATGCACGTCTTCAGGCACCTGTCACTTACTGGGCTCTTATGTCAGCAGTGCAACCCTAGCTGTAGCCTGTGAAACTGCAGTTTGAAATGTGTTTAATATCATTGAACATAACCAAACAGTTGAGTTAGTTAATAACCAAGGACAGCACGGAGGCAAGCTTTCTGAGGGAAAATTAATGCATGACCAGAAAGTACAGTGTCCTATCAAGACAGCTTCAACATCTGCTTTTGGCTAGTAAATGCAAACTGGTCTGTTCCTGATCAGTATAATAGCACACCATTCAAAATGTGGAGATAAGACAATTGGGGTCTCCTTGTCATAAGATTGGAACAGACACCGTATACAGTGAGTTTTCCCTGCTTAAATCCTTCCATCTAAAGTGGCTCTGGGTACATGTGACAATCATGGTTTTACATAGATCTTTGTCTCCTGCAAAGCCATTAAAAATCTTACAGATAATAAAACTAGATAATAAACATTTGATAAAAACCAACGTCTTTTATCTTTTTAAGGCTGTGAGACTGGTGACTGAACTTAGCTTGGAATACAAAGTGTACGATCCCCAACTTTGGAGTTGCTTCCTGCAGAAACTGCTTGGCTTCAAGATGGTAAGAAACCTTTTATGCAATGCCTTAATTGTACTGTTCTGTAGTAAGATGAAAACGGGAGAGTGGAATGAGAAAAATCTGTTTTTGTTGTATTACCAGAACAGAAACCAGCCCATCAGCCTCTGATTCCTGAAAATCAGAGATTACTCTGGGTTGTTGCCCTAGCTGTGGCTTAACACCATCACAAAAGTATTTGGAGCTTGTGGGCACTCACAATTTATATAAAGCTTCAAGGATTTTTGTATTTAAGAGTATTTATATTAATTGTTCTAGTTCATTAATTTGTCTAAGCACTTCAGAGTTAATTGCTACGGCCTAAGTCCTATAATAAAATGAGCGGAAAGATCTCAGTGTGAAATTTTTGCACCCCCAGATATAGGTATGTTATTACTAGTTAAAAAAAAAAAAAGTACTTGAGTTGTCTGGATATATTTATAGTAACACTCTTAGTTTTGCAATACAAAGTGTTAGTTCCTTTAAAATTTAGCAACTAGGACTATGTCCACATTGTATTGCAGCATTTTAAACATTCCGAACTACTTGGGTTACCAGTAGCCAAGAGGATATAACCACTAGGGCTTCAACACAACGTGATCAAGTCTGTGAGGGACCCTGAGGACTGAGACAGATGAAGTACCCCCTGCCACTGGTGCTGATGGTAGTGTTATCTGAGCTAGCTTGGGTAGCCTGTCCCTGCTGCAGTCACAACTCCTGCAAATTCTTGCCTTTGCTCCAAGAGCACGCAGATATTTTAATCCTGTAGTTTCTTGTGCAATAGTAAAAATGCTAAAACACTTTGTAACAGAATTTTTTTCTTTTCAGATTCAGTATCTAAGGAAAGTTTTGATAGCAGTTACTGGGATTCATTCATTATGGCAGGTCTGTGAATCTTTTATGAATACACACTCAGCCCTAGTCTCATTTAGAAGGGACCTAGTGGTGATTACCTCCCTTTTATAAGCTGCTTTATCATCTGCAGGTGGAAAATACTATGCATAAGAATGCCTTCAAATTTATTACCATGTGTGTTTTAACAGGACTGTGTGGAAAGTAGTTTTTAAATCAGTTAATTGCAATGGAAAGTATTTTTTTTAACTCATTGAAACCATATACTCTGTAGTTTAAAACTGTGTTATTGCTTGTTTTAAAAATTCTGAAAATAAGTGTTTACTAATTTGGCGATAAACAATTTTGTCTAAGTTGAAACATGGCAACACCTCAGAGCAAAAGTGAAGGAGTGTATTATAGGGAACAATCCTGCACTGCCAAGAGGACTAATAGGCTAGATCACTAGGATTTACAAACCTATTGACTTGTTAGTGCTGTGGTTTCTGGCTACATACGAAATTTTAAAATAAAATGTATAGTGTAGCCACAGTGGGCTGGTAGACAAGAAATAGTGTCTAAAGTCCTATAGCTCTAGTTCTGAATTCTGGAGTATAACAGAAATTACTTTTAGCTGAAGAACAGCCATTAAAAAGTTTGAGCTGGACAGTTTTTCAGACTTCACAAGTCAACATTGTGAAGTGCAGGCAGTGGCTATTACTTGAAAAATGCATTTACTTTTAACAGATTCCTAACTTCAGCCGAGCTTGGCGAACTGTAATTCTGGCTCCATTCCTTGCAGGTATGTTTATTATCATCTCTGCCTGTCAGATGTATTTAACAGCACTGCCAAGCTGTTCTAGTTTGTCATTCTTTTCATCTTATTTTTCAGCTTCATGTCCACCAAATCCAAAGCAGTTGGAGGCATGCTGTGAATGCTTTGTTACTCTACTGAAGTAAGTAAATGTTACATCCTGTATTTGGGTGGGAAGACACTTAAGATCCTCAACCCTCTGCCCTCTTAGCGCCTTGTAACTGGTACAAGGACTGGAAACGGTGAAAAAAAGTCTTGGATCCAAATGAGGAAAAATCCTGCTTGTACAGGACCTAATGAGGTCCCCTTGCCCGCTAATCAAAGGCATGTGGTGGGATAGGAACACAGCACATAGCATTGCAGAGATTCTGCAGCACTATTGTCCATAAGCAGTTGCGGACAGGTGCCAAAACAGCATCTCAGAGCTGTTTAAATTGCATCCGTCCAGAATTGTTCATTTTGCATTGTTCTGTCTCCCTATATTCTCAAGAGCCATGGGGTTTGTGCTCCTCTTGAAGTCACAGCACAGAATCTCACCCTGAACATACAATTAATTATTAAATGTTTACAGAACATGAATGGCTTGAAAAGCCTCCCAAACCATTAGCATATAGCATGAGAAATGTCATGTTAACTTACATTGTTATGGAGAGTAAACATGACATCTTAAAATACTACCATTAGTAATTACACATGAAGATATACAAACTTAACCCATCTTTAACTGTCTGTATTTTGAGACAAAGGTTTCATTTCCCTTGTTTTTAATGATGCAACATTCCAAAGTCCTAATATTTTGCTACAGCTGGCTGTACAAATTCTTGTGGTAACATGAGCAGAATTAAATCCAGCCCTCATAGCCATAGATGGTGCCTACTAACACGCTTGGTAGTATTCTATCTTGCTTTTGTGACTGCCAGTTTTGCAGAAGACACCATAATAGTAGCTACTCCAAGAAGCTTAATCCGAACTCAGTGGTAAACACAAGACACTGAATTACATCAACATTCTACGTAGTATCTGCTGTTCAGCCTAAACTTCTAGTTATCTGACACTTCCATTATAACATAAGCAAGAGAGTTTTATAGTTTTTTTTCCAAAAGTTATCCATTCAACTTGATATTTCCTAAGTGGGGGCATGCGCTACAAATTTCAACTAAAATTGTTTGGCCATTTCTGGGAGTGAGAGTTTTATTGAGAAGATCTACAGTTTCCATGTCTTAGACCAGGGATTCAGCATGGCAGGACAGTGGCCAACCCTTGCACCTCTTGTTACTCACTCTTAGCCAAGATTTTATTTTCATATATATAATTTTGAAAGAGGCCCAGTGTGCAGAGGCTCAGAGTTTGGCAGCTAGCTTCTCTGAAGACTTCACATGCCTTAATTGTGTTCCAGCTCAAGACTGCAATGGCTGAGCAGTATTTTCCCTGTAACTGCTTCTATCAAGTACTGTAGCTGCAGAGACCAGAAAGGAAAGCAATGAAATTATGTACTTCTATGCTCTCAGTGCTGTTCCACTGTGTCCAGGCCCTGTGGAATAGTAGGAGGCAGCCACATTGCAATGCAGATGAGTCAGAAATTGGAGGAGAGGAGAGGAACCGGCAAGTAGAGAGGGTGGCAACAAGAGCTACCACAATTTGGGAGGGTCAGGGAAGTTTTAAGAATGGCAGACAGATGTATAAGTGCTAAAGTACAGTCCTGTATAGAACCTAGGAATTAACAGAGTTTTCAGGCTGCGTTCCTCTGTTATCAAGCTTGCCATCAGCAAAGTAGAATTTAGCAATAAATCTGCAGAGGATAACAAATCTAGTACTGTTATCAGATACTCTGCCGTTTCATGTGGTAAGGGTCTATGCTGTGCATACCAAGTTCTGAACTTTCTTGGTGACTTGTTGTTTTTTCCACTTCTCTCTGCTGTGTCCTTCCCTTCCTCTGGCTGTGAAACAATAAATACACTTCCACCGTTTTATCACTTGCCAATTTCAAAATTTCTTTCAGTGCAGCTCGTGAACAATGAGTGCAAACCCAGGCAACTGTCCAAATACTCACTTCAAGATCTTTTCCCAAAATCTAAAGGGAAGGAGACACACACATGAATTATCAAAATCACTGAAGGAAACAAAATTCTTTTTATAGTTAAAGTTTTCTCTCCTCCCCTCAATATGTTTCTGCTGAAGGTGTCCTGTCCTAGCTGATCTAGATGTGATTGGAATTGCAAAGCAATATGCACAGTTGGACCTTCCAGCTTTTGCTCTAGGATGCCTGTTGCTGATTCCTCAGCCTGAGAAGAGAGAACAACAGATTCAGGTAAGCAGGAGGTACATGCTGCTAAATCTGCCCTGGCAAGGAAGTGCACAGACAGTGACATGAGACCTCTTGCCTAGGGGAACTGCATCTTCCCTTGCTTCTTTATCAATACTGAGACTCGCACTTGCCAAAGAACCAAGTTAAGTAGACTCAAGTGCTTTCTTAAGGCAAATAGAATGCAAAATGTGAGAGAGAATAGAATGATCGATACATGTGAACACAAAGGAACACAGACCATCCCTACAAGAGGAAACCCTGGTCCTGAAACAAGATACAAGGTTCCTAGTGGCAGACAACTGAACACAAATTCCCAGTTGTGCTGCAAAAAGGTATCACAATCCTTGCATATATAAATGAGGGAGTTGAGTAGGAATAAGGTTGATCTCCACTCAATGTGTGGTGTTTGCAGTTGATATCAGAAAAGCAATGTGCAGTTTTCTATATAGAGACATAGCAGCACATCACATTTTGACCAGAACTCTTTGCCTTAGCTTTGTTCCAGCTGCTAATTTGCATCTTTCCCATTCTCTTCCTCTTCTCACAGCATTTGCTTCTGTGATTTAAGGAAGAAGTGTTGAAAGCTTTTAGGTCCTGCATGCTGCCTGTGCACCTACTATAACAGCAATATACAAAGAGGCATCCATAGCTACGTACAGCACACTCCTGCTAGGTTCTGCATAGATCTACAAGCCAATAGAAGTTCAGATTTTGTCTACATTTTTTACAAGTTACAACACTTTCTAGATTTGCAAATAAATTACCAAGTGTATGCGGCTATGCATTACTTTTGAATTTTCCATGTAGAGACATTAACTCAGTCATGATTTCCCAAAATGGAATCAAAACAGTCAGCTGACAGTAGGAGTTAACAAGTATTTTATCACTTTACAGCAGAACAGGTTGGCAGTATTAGTGACAAATCTATAGCTCGTTTGAGCCAATATTCTTTGCAGAAAGCTCTGAGAATTTCTAACTCGTGCTTTGAAGCTTCAGGCATGACTTGCTTCTTACTGAACCAAATGTCTGTTCTTGGGGAAATTTTTTAAACTGTAAAATTCTACACTTAATACTAAATCAATCCTTGAAAGGGTTTCCTGTCCTCGTCTAACCCAGAAGCTATTCTACAACAAGTAGACGAATGCATGAACACGGGTGAAGTAGCAGGATTTGCATCACAGGTAAAGAAACCAACTTTAGGTATGGTAGCAGGTAGGCCATTATGTTTCACTCGGTCTCCCTGTACTGAACCCAGGAATTTGTTTGACATGCATATCTTTCAGAAAGGACCCAATGTTTTTTTCTCAGGACAATGAGAAATGGAAGAAAAAAAGCTATCCTTTCTGTTGGCACCCTGCTCTAGTGGCAATCCTCCTCATTTAATTTGCATCTTCTGATTTTTGTCTGGCTCTGACTTCCAACTCATTGTTCTTATTTCTCTGCTAGATAGTCCTTTAATACAGTATTTTCTTCCATGAATGTGTTTAGTACAATCAAGTCACCAAATAGCCCGAGTTCTGAATCTGACTGCCAGGCATTTTCTCCAGCTCCAAAAACTTTTTTTATGGCTGTATCCTCCATCCTCCCCCCGGCTCTCCCTGCAATATCCTTTTGGGGAAAATTAAGAGCACCAGGATTGTATGCAGTCTTATCAGTGGCATATCTGAGAGGACACATCCCCTTAACTGCTATTCCCACTTCTCCAAGAATCAAATTAGCTCTTTTGGCCATGCTTTATCCCAGCCAGCACTGGAAAGTATACTGCACACTACCAAACTGTGAGAGAGAATTATAAGGATGTTGGTTTTTGCAGTCTCTGCAGTTGACATGTGACCACATTGGTCACAGTGGTGTTTGCTAGCACATGTCAAATTTACATTGTAGAATTATTTCAAGAACAAGTAGCAAGACCTCATTGTTCAAAATTAATTTGTTTGATCAAAAAAGCTAGTAAAACTTTGTCATCTCACTCTGAGCCTGACTCATTGTGGGTGTATTTCTTAAAATATCTCTCTGCCTGAAAAACTAAGATTAACATTTGAGTCTCACAACAATGCTGTTAAATAGCAAACTTTTCACAGTGCTTTGAAAATCTAAAACCTGCCTGCTTTGAGATTAGAGTGAGAAAAGGCTTATAGCATTTAACACTTGAAGAAGAACTCACTAAAGTAAAATGTTAAGATCTTGAATGCAATATTCTAAAATAAATTCTGCTACTTTGCAGATTAGATGTTTGATTCTGGACAACATTATACATGAGAAACAATACGAAAAGTTTTCAAAATCTAAATACTTCCCATTATTAAAGCTACAAGTCATGAACAATAACAGAGTGAAAGAACTGGTGGAGTACCTCCTCAGTAAGAACTGGTAAGCTCTTTTGATTCCCCTGCATTTCCAATCTTGATGTTTGCTGCAAGTTTGTTATATACACAGAGCCCTAGGGACTTATCAGTGCACAGCATCCAAGAGCTTTAAAAGCCTGGGCAAGTAAACTGTCACTTTTTTTCTTAAACAAAACAAATCTCATTCTGCATTTGGTGGTAAGAGTATTTTGACAATAATAAGTAACATCCATTATCTGTATTTAAGTCCAGGAATCAGTATTTTGTTCTTGTATTTATCTGACAGAAACATGTTCTTAATCTTGTTCCATGATTAAAACAAGAAAGAGAGCGCTTTGCCACTGAAAACTCCACTAAGCAGTTGTCAATTTGTAGTACGTTAACCACAGGGGGGAGGGGGGATGCTTTCAGCTGTTCAGGTGCATTTGAAATAAAAAGTAACCTACTTCCTTTTCTCTATAAGCAGTTGTGTACTTGCCACACGGGTGTCTTGTGATCCTGAATGATAGGGGACCACAACCAAGTGTGAAAACTGTTAAAATATAATTGGTAGTGACTTTAGCAGTTGTGCTTCGTTACTTCCATCAAGATACAGTTTTGTCAAGTACATGGAAACTCCCCTCCCTCTTCTGCAAGAGAATATAGGTAAATAGGTGCATAGTGAAGTGACTGATCATACCAAGCGAGGAATCAATTTTGTATGTATGCTTGCTCTTATACATGACTACACATTGTTTAACGTGCTTACAGTATAGGTATTGCATGAGTTGAGTGAGATAAATAAGCTTTACTTCTGCCCTTTGCAGCGCAGATGATGCTGCAGCCCTGGTAACAGAATATCAAGAGAGATGTGGAAATTCTATACCAGCAGACTTGTTGCCTTGTGATATTCTGAAGGTAAATCATACTTGGCCAAAGAAGAAAAGCAAACACTTGCTCAGACTACCATTAGGAGCAAAGCCTTATTGGACCCATTAGACCTTATGTTTTCTATTAACACTAGTACATTTACAGGTTTCAAGTATTCAGATCTGTGCAGTTTGTCTTTTTTACATGACTCTTGAGCTTTTTTATTAGTATGCTAGTTTTCAAAAACATCTGTCCTGTTTTAAAAGTAATGTCTCCAAAGTGTTCAACTTTCACATTCTTCTCCTCCAGATGTTTTTGAGTACACCACAGTAGACCGTCACACTCCCTTACTAGAAACAGCCATTCAAGGATCAAAAACTTGATGTACATCTCTTCTCTCCCAGTGCCACGATGATATCTCAAAGTGGAAATGGAATCAAAGTCTTCGTGCTATTACTTGCCTTTCTTTTTTAATTGGTAGTGGCTAATACTTACTAAGCACACGATTTGAATGTGCTGTTCCACATGGAATTCTAGGCTTCACTTACAGCACAACTCTTTTGCTCCCCACTATAAAATAAGTCCAACATTCTAAGATTAAAACAACTTCAAATTTAGCTAGAGCTAACTTGAAGTCAGTGTTGTAGCTAAATACAAATGTCAAGGTTTATCCTTGAAAGTCTTCCTTGGATAAATTAATTTTTATATAACTATGTAAAGGTTTTATAAACATGACTGTAAATATCAGTGTATCTTATGTAAAACATATTTTGTAAACTAATCTTAAATTTGGATTCCTCCATGGGCACAAATAAAACTGATTTAAGTAAAAAGTTTGGACGTATTTAATCAACTTTGTAGCATAACCAAATTAGCCATAGATGAACTTTTCTAATGGAAACTAATATTCCATTTTTTTCCTTTTTTGACCACCCCAAAACACTCATTTATATAATAAGGTAAGGTAACCACTCATAATCAGCAAAAAGAACATTGCGCATGACTTGATTTATTTAAACTTTCCTCCCATTTTTAAGTTAGTCTTTGACACTGTTCCATTGAGATATGGCTACATGGGTTAAATGTTCCAAAAAAAGCAGAGCATCTCACTAGACTAGAAATGAAATACTAGCAGAGTACATTTAAAAACAACACAACACAGGTAAACATAAGAAGCCAGGTTGATTTGTACTTTTTAAAAACCTAATTACCAATGTTCTAGTGGTACAGTGAAAACATCTGTAACAATAACCAGATGGCCTTTTAATCTGTTTTGATCACTTTCTACTTTTCAGTATCAGTAAATTGCATGATATGCAGTTAACTACGGGACTGGGTTTAATAAGCATTACTTCCAGAGTGGGAAGAAAGCTGGACAACCAGCTCTTACACCATACTAAACAGTCTGAGAGTATTCTGCAAGAGGAATATCCCTTTCTAAGGTAATTGTAGTACAGAGTGAGATCAGCATCTTTTAGAGAAGCACATGCTCTCTCTCTAAAGCTGGAGAGAGAGAGCAAGCCATATGCTGGAGCTTACAAACCACTATGAGAAGCCTCAGAGATGTCCGCTGTTCTGTAGAAACTAAGAAGAGTGGTTGTGATGCAAGAGGTGCGTCTGGGGGTCCATTTCTTACTGGACTAGCTAGCACAGAGAAGGCAGGTATGCACAACAGGAACTGCTAGTATGTGGTGCCAAGGTTACATGTAGCTAAAAATGGGAAAGTAAGTCCTGGTCCTCTTATCCTAATAGAGGATTTAGAAAGCAAAACAAAGATCTTCAGACTTTTGAAGAGGTGTCCAATTAAACTAAGCCATCTAAACTTACTGTCCATAAAATGGACCATTTCTATTTTATAACTTCAGGAGCAAATGGAATCAAAATAAAAAATGTTACCTCTCCTTCATGCCTGTGGTAAGCAAACAGGAACTAGTCAAATTAACTGTTCTGTCAATGACCGTTAACTTGGCATATACTACAAAATTGCATTTGCAGCACTCCAGTAATTTTAGAGAACAGAGCTATTTCACAAACAAAATCTTGAACATGTTTTTAAATGTTATCCTAGAAGTTCTTTGTTTATACTCGCTTCTTGTTCAGATGAACATCTGTTCAAGGAGAAGCTAAGCACCAAATGTGTGTTTAAGGTAAAGACTGTGTGGCTCACATAGCTGAACCTTTTTATGAAAGGTAACCATTGAGGTTAACATCTTTTCTGGAAATAAAGTTTCCGAATCGCATTAAATACGAAGGTTCTGTAAACATCTTTATCAAAACAGTACTACCTGGGAGTTGATAGTTTAAAATATTTTTAAACAATTTAAAATTGTTTAAAAATATTTAACAATTTACAGATGTTCTAGTGATATAGTGGCTCTGTGTTTTGCTAACAGTTTTCCATTCAAAATTAGGCTTTGTACAAAAAAAAAAATGAAGGAAAACAATTTTATTACATTAAGGGCTGTTCTTTAACAAGCTCAAGCACATTTCCTATAGCATTGTGCACTTAGCTATTTAGCAGAATATTTTAAGAAATTACCCAAGTGTCATTATTTGAAAGCTACTCTAAGCTAGTTACATTGTTATAAGTACTTAGCAAGTGAGTGTTTTAATACTATAAACTAGCAATCAAATATTGCAAGTAGTTTGCAGCTCTGGAATGAGTTGATAAGAGGCACCAGCCACGTGAAGCTGTCCTAGGATTTTTTGTACTCGATTCTTTCTACTTTCACATCATCTCCAATTAGCTGATACACATAGGTTACTACTGTGGAAGCTTGGATATCCATCAGCACAAAGGAAGGAATGATGTTGCTGGAAAGAAAAATTGATTCTGTTAATACTTGGTAATTACAGAAGCAGCAACATAAAACACTTCTCAAATCTAGATTTAGTATGACTTGCTCCAAGGAATTTGATTTTTTTTAAAGCATACTCCACCACAGAAAATGAGGAAGTAACACTTCAATATATTAAGCTTGGTTGAGTCAAATGCGTTTAGAGAGTACCATAAGAAAAATCCCCAATAGCAACAGAATTACCTACCACTTGTAGTCTCTATTCAATAAAACTTGGCTAACAAATCAGCTGACACAGTTCCCTCTTCTTACTACCATCACTGCTAGGAGCTTTCTTTCTACTCAACAAAGTCCAAGAGGGTTCAGTTGCACTTTAGAGACTGGAAAATATTGTTACTGTAGGCAATAACAATGCATGCAAATCTAAATCTAGCTTCAGCAGTTCATTAGATCCTTTCTTGAGAAGCACTGGAAAATGCAGTGGAGCCTTCTAGAGAGGTGAAGCAACATGCAAGGCCTGTTGTCACCAAGATGATAAATACTTATGTAGCCTGGTAATCTACACTAATGGTTGTATCGATATTCAAATGCAATTAAAATAAATATACAGCATTCTTCCCTTATTCTACTCACTTCTCCAAGGCATGATAAGCTCCTGTAGCTGAGCCTGGGTTGATATAGAACTTGTTTTCATGCTCAAATGCCTCAAACTTGTGTGTATGCCCCGAAATTAAAATGTCCACATCAAACTGCCTTTGTAGCAATGCCAGGCTGGCCACATCACCCCATGGAATAACCTGATGGCCGTGGATCAGCCCAATTTTGAACTGTCCAACAGTTACAACTTTCTGCTCTGGATAATTCAGGTTCTGAAATCAAACACAATGTGGAGGTCAGATATACTTCATATTTAGTTATTTTGCCTGCATTTCTTCCACATAAATAAGCCTCTCTGCTACTATTCAAAAGGTCTTAGAAATTCTCTTCAAGGCTTTCTTTGCTGCCAAATACACCTGACAGTGCTCTGTACCCACCCATAGTCAAGTGCATTATGAAAGCCAATTACTTTGCATCTTTAGGCAGTGTACTGGAAAGCTTAAGGTCTGAAACAGCAGAACTGTATGGTTTATTTCCAGATTTACAAGACTTCCGATGTTATTGTAAAGTTGCTGAGATCCAACAACTCTGCCATCAAATGCCACCTGTTATTGCTGAATTATTTTAAAAGACTTGGTTAGGTTCACATTCTTTTATTAGAGTAGAATTACGCAAGACAAGGGACACTAATCCAAGAGTCAGCTCTCACCATGGTGGATGACAACACAGTCAATTTTACTTGTTACAAATCAAGGTGTATGGCGTAATTCCTTTTAAATTCAAATATTCCCTTTTTGCAAGAAATGTGCATAACAGGACATTACCTCATCAAAATCCCCTCTAACAACGTGAACATCCCCAGCCAAGGTTTTGAGGTAATCATAGGTCTCCTTGGTGCAGAGGTTTCCAGTGCAGAGGATGTGTTGGATCTTTCCTGGAACCAGCAGTTTTTTGAACTTAGCTGGGAGGCTGTTGCACCGATGTGGAATGTGGAGGTCTCCTAACACAAGCACCAGCTTATGAGGGGTCACACAGGAGGGGGAGAGAAAGAGAGAGAGAGAATTACAGATTCTAACTAAGATGAGCAACACAGTACACATTTTCTTCAGTTTTATGATTCTGTATTATGGAAGTTGGAAATAAAAGTAAGGGATCTTGAACTTGGATGATGCCACCAGAGGCCTTATCTACAGAAAGAGGGTTTTGCTGGTACAACAACAAAGCTCACTTCTGTGGATCCAAATAGCTATAGCAAAATAAAAATAATTCTATTAGTATAATTTATGCTCATTAGGGAACCTACATGAGCTCCCAGCGTAACTACTTATACTGGTTATTGTAGTGGCATTTTTTTTTAAACAAACAAAAAGCAGCAAACTTTAGGCAACCTAGAAATGTTAGCAACCCCAAAATAGAAAAGAATTAAGTTACAGCTATTTTCCATCAGAACAATGTTTGTTCCACATTTCCCTTTTACTGTAGTGATTAATCCTTATTCTTGTGTTCTAATAAAAACCCAAACAAATCTGTAATATATGCACACGCATATATACAGAAATATATTTCTGTACATATATGTATATACATATAGGTTTTTAAACAGAATTAGGAGTTTGTCAAGAGCCAACAGGCAGATTTCAATATCAACTGGACAGCGTCAATGGGGCTTACTTTAAAAAAATGAGTTTAAGAGTTTTACAAGCTGAAGATGAACTAGTTTGAGATGTATGAATACGTACAAATGTTAAAAAAGACACAGGATTCAGCATGACTTATTTAAAACAAAAAAAACCCTAACATATTTGAGGCTATCCTTTCTAGAATATCACAAGAGCAAAGGAAATTTAATTAGATAAGAATTACGCCTTTGAATCTAAATCTTAATTACAAAAAGGTAGCCTGTGGTAGCACCAGACTTGTTAAATGCAACTTATTTGAGAAATGTAATTAATGCAAGCAAAGTAACAGGAAGACAAGCTTCATGTAATTATACAGCCTACGGGAGAGAAGCATTATAAAAGCACAAGACCTTCCGTAGCGACTCGGTCACTTGAACATTATACATCAAGAAGCTGCTTCTATCATCCTGGTAAGCCTATAAACATATACATACATAGCTTGTTTTCTTCCAAGCCTAGCGTTCTTATCATACAGCAGCGCCACAATGCAACGGCTACTGAACACGAATACACTCTTCAGAGGAAGATCACAACAATGCCTGCAGCTACGCTACAAGATTAATCCTTTCCACGCTCTAAGGTTGTGTCTTTATTCTGGCAACCAGGCCAGTGCCCTCGTGCAGACAGCAGCACTCGACAGGGAACTCCGTTAGGAAAACCTACTCAGGGCAACACCTAAATTGTAGCGGGGGAGCGATTTGGTGAAGCAACAGAGTCTTTAACTTCTGAGCCCCCAGGTCAAGACGGGTCGTTTCCTCTGGCTTTCCAGGCAGTCCTAGCGGGCAGACACCAGCCCTAGAGTCTGGTTGCGCGGGCAGAGAGAAATAAAGATAATTTGTTCCTTGTAAGATGAATGTCATTTCTCCTCGAGAAGAATTTCACATCGCGCTCCCTTGTCGGCATCAGACAGGACACCGTGAACTGGGGCGCGAGCAACGCTGGACTCGCTACCTCACCGCTCTCAACCTTCCTACGCCGCTGGCGGCTCCCGAAACGCCGCGGCGCTTCTTTCTCGAGGACAGAAAAGCCACAGAACGAGTCCTGATTTCGGGGCGACGGGTGCCCGCGTCAATCGCTCGCGTCAATCGCTGGCGTCACCTCGCCGGGCCCCTCGCGAGGGCAGGGTCTCGAGGCAGCCGCTCGACCCCGGCACCATCACCCCGCTGCTCCAAGGACCCCCCAAGGCAACCTGGCCCGCTGCCAGGGGAGGGGAGGGGAGGGCCGGGCCCGGAGTCGCAGCTCAGCTGCAGCCGGAGCCAGGCCCCGGGCAGGGAGGGGGGCGGACTTACTCTGTGCCCCGCCTGGGCGGGGCGGAGGAGTTGATTGCAGACGAGGCGCGGCGGGGGGTTGAGCCGGG